GCCATATTATTGATTCCCAGCAGGAGGAAGCATGGGTGGGAAGGAGCTGAGAGTTGGGTTGGAGAATGAACTGAAGTGTTAAAAATCCAGGGCAAGGGTACGACAAAGTACGAAGAGTGCTCTGATTCTTTGTGTGTGGGGAGCAATGAAAGAAAAAAACCAAGAGATGAGAGAGAGCTTCTGTCTGCCTTCAGAGAAGGTACTGCAACCTGAAGTCTACTTCCTCTCCACTTTGGAATGATCCTGTTCTTCATACTTCATGCTGGTGATTTGTGCTGCATTTCAGAGTGTTCAGGTATCCTGTTATTCAGCTACTTGTCCTCCTACAGTAAATGCCCTGAGCCTCGAGAAAGGCTCTTTACTGTAGGAACATTCAAAATAAAGTTTTCTCCCAGAAGCACAATACAAAGCAGATATACTGATGAAGATATCTTCCAGAATATATCGGTTACTTGCATAGAAAACAGCGATAAAATTACTTAACACCTCACAGCACATGTTCTTTAAATAAAAGTGAAGATTTACCATTGGGAAATTGCTTCCTTTTTGAGACTCATGCCATGTTTAACTGCTTGGCTCCCTGTATGATTGTGCAATGTTTTACTTCTGTGTGTGTGGGGGGGATCTTTTAACAAGCTTTAAATCTTAAAATACAAAAATTGAGAATTATTCTTCCTGTTAGATTACAGAGACATGGAAAAGGTACATAAATAAGTTCTAATACATGCAAAACTTAGTGGAATATATTTACCCAAACTAATATATATGATGTGAAAAAGAGAGAAAATGCTTGTTCTTATGGATATATAGTGTCATTCCAGCTGTCATTAATGTAAATGAGCATGGCATTCAGTCCGAAGTTGATTTTGCACACAGTTACTGGCTTTTAATTTTTCATCTTGTGTTTATTAATGGACATCTTTTCATTTCTGGACATACAGTGTAAAGGTAGAAAGACTTATTTTAAATGTGAAATAAAATGACTTTTGCAATTAGTACATTCTCCAGTAACTCATTATTAGAAACCAGACCTGTCTCTAAATGATCAATGGCTGTGATGGTCCTTTGAGAAGTGCATCAAGACTGAACTCACTGTTGCTGTGCAGCTTGTTTGGAAAATAGACTGATTTCTCCATGAAATGCAGGTGTAAGCGTTGGAAGGGTTTGAGCCAGAAGGCATTCTTGGCATTTTCTAGGTGGGGACATTCAGAAGAGCCCGTCAGGCTTGGCACCTGGTTTCTCCTCAAACTGCTGCTTTTCTCTGAGATTTTGCTACAAAGTCTGCTGGCACTTGTCAGTTTTCCACAACTGATTTATCTGAATTTGGTTTTTTTCAGTTTGAAGGCATTATCTCAGAATGAACAGCTTTCCTTCAGTTTCAGAAATTTCTTCAATGAACTTTCGTGCTTAACACCCAGCCACAAGTTCAACTTTTTATTCATTCTTTCATAGTTTTTCAGAAAGAACCTCTTGGGGTGGCACAACTTCTGGTAGAGAAAAGGAGAAGTTATTTTTAAAATAGCTCTATAATACCTTTAAACATAAAGGAATTATTTTGTTTAAATTTAATACTTTTAGGAAGGTCTGTTATTAACTGTCAGGTTTCACTGCTGCAGTTAGTAAGCAGGACAGCGAGATTTAGTATCTCTTAATGTAAGACTAATTTGTAAGCAGTATTGCAGCCTCTGTTGGCTAGTGTTTAAAGCCATTGCTAGTATACTTGTTTCCCCCTCAAGGAATATAGAATTTCAACTGCAGTCTGTTAAATTAACCAATCTCTGCATATTTTTCAGTCTAGAATTATTGTGGTAGCAGATAATCACCTACTTAAGTCACTTCTAGTTTTTGCATATTATTTGCTAATAATTATACCTTTTAGTTAGTACCTTTTATAGTCTGTGTATATTTTTCCTAACTGTCTTTTCACCAAGCAAGTTGGGACTGTGTATTTAAAACTATGTTTCAAGTCTGATGATGCTGGAGAAGAGACAATAAAACCAGGAGAGCTCAAATGGTTAGTGTTTAAATAATGTAGTGTATTTTATATTCACTAAAATCTTGTTTCTCCCATAGTATTATGGACCATGTAGCTTTTAGAAAAGCACTGAAGAGTAAATACCCAAAGCTTTTCCAAAATATTTTAGGGTTTGTTTTTTTTTTTTTCTTTTAAAAAACACCACCTCGGTAAAATTCACATTTTGTGCCGTATGTCCAGATCTCAAATTGTGGCTACAACATGCTTTTTGGATTCTATCAACAGTTAGTAAAAGTAAAATCCTAGAAAAATCTAATTTCTCCCAAATTTTGATTTTTATTTCAGAATTTTATCCCTTCATTATCTTCCAGGCTTGCTATTCTTTAGTTATACAGTACCATCTCTGACTAGGCGAGGTGGTTCTTTTAGGGTTAGGGAAAAAAAAAAGTGTTGCTGGATATGCAATTTCATGCGTTTGTTCTTCCTGTGGATGAGACGTTTTTCCATCAAAAAGCATTTCATTAGTTTCTAAAAATATACTGCATTAATCCATACATCCACATGGACATACTATTAATGTTAGGTAGAAAGTGTTCTGTGAAATCACTGAATCAGCTGAGGGGCAAAATAATACTCTTCTGATTAAAAAAAAAAAAAGTGTTCTCCCATCAATATGATCAGGTCTAAAAGGAAGAAAATAATTTACTTCAGCAACCCTACAGAAATTGGTTAAGAAAATAGAAAATGAGTAGGACTTTTAAACTGTGCTTGTTCAGCAACTACTACTGAAAGTCCGGTTTTTGTTATTCATTGTTATAAATTGATTTTGATGAAAATAATTATGAATATTCATAGCAGGTATCACCTATAAGTTAAGATTTATACTCTGCTGTATGGAAGTTGACTAGTTAGGGATACTGTTAAGTCTGTCTGATGCGATTATCTCAGAAGAAAGCTCCTTTTAAGGCACTCAAACATCAGTCCCATTCAGAGTTTTAGGCGTAACACCAAATCCACTACTGAAGTGTGAGATCCTGATCTGACAGCCTTTAAACCAAGGTGGGTGATCTGTACTCTACGGTGAGAAGCATGTCTTGAACAGCAATAGATCACTTTGCTGGTTTGGTGGAGCATTTTGATTTAAACCTTAATCTATAAGACTCTTGTTACAGTGTGATGCAATAGAATGCAGTTATACAATTATTTTGAGGCTCAGTTTTTCTAGGGTTTTTACCAACATAAAAGAAATAGATAACCCAATCCAGAAACTTTAATGTATTTTTTTCTTGCGTTTAGTATCTCTGTATTCCTCTTTTCTTCCACTCTTTTAGCAAGAGATTAAGATAATCCAGCAGGGTAGTGAAATAGCAGTGTTGAAGAGTGTCATAAGAACTATTGAAGGTAAATACCTCTTCTATTGTTAGTTGTTAATCACTTACTGAATGAACCTTTTTTTCCCCTATAGGCAATCTGATTTAGACAAGTGTGTGTCAGGCTACTCAACTGCTTTCATCAGGAGTGATTTATGTTAAATTAAATATAGCTGATTTTTTTTTTTTTTTTTAAGCCACAGAGTTAAATGTTCTTAGCTTCTGGAGCATATCTTGGATAAAATGCTTGTAAATATAAACAAGTTTTGTCAAATGAGAACACTGATTAAGCATTGCACGTGTTCTGCTAACTTAACTAGGAAACTTTTTATATCAAATAACATTACATTTCTTTTAAAATGCTCTGAAGTAGGAAACTTAGAACCAGGCTTGCCATTTAGCGATTGGTAGCTGGAGCAATTACTACTGCTTCCTTTACGGCTGACACATAAAATTCAGAAAGCCTCGTAATTATTTGTGTTCTCTTACCTACTGTAAGGATCTCTGTGTGCTGTTTTGTGTTGGGTTTTCTGTTCTTAAATAGTACTGGAATACTGGCATGCTCACGTCTTAAAAATAAAACTAAAATGAAAAAATCCCAGACTTCAGTTAAAAATAACAAAGAGCCATTTAGAGGTTCAAACTCCTAGTACATTTAGAAAAGGAACTTTCCTGAAAGAATAATTAATTTAAAATAATTTACGTAATAATTTCTCTTAAGCTGTGATATTTTTTGAGGAAAATAGCCTTTGCTTAGAAGGAAACTATTCACAAATACAGCACATGTAACAACATCTAGTCATGGTGTGATGAAGCAAGAATCGTTCATTGGTCCTCGCATTCCTTCCACAGCTGAAGTCTACATAGGAATTGGGAAGCCTGCTGAGGCCACAGCATGTACCCAGGAAGCAGCTAATCTCTTTCCGATGTCGCACTATGTCCTCTACATGAGAGGTCAGGTGGCTGAACTTCGTGGAAATATCGATGAAGCCAAACGCTGGTATGAAGAGGCCTTATCTATTAGTCCTACCCATGTGAAAAGCATGCAGAGGCTGGTAAGTCTTGAGTGCACATTCATAAATACTTTTGTCTCAATTTATGATACTGTATTGTGAACTTTTAACTTGACATGGGGAACCCATAGGTTATGAGTTTTGGATCTATGTTCTATTAGCAAACTAGCTTTGGAAACAATCTATTCTGGTGTTTTAGTCTCTCTTCTGTGTGTTTGGGACATAAAAAGGATCTGCAGCAATAAGGCTATTTCAGTCCTAGCAGAGACTGCAGTAGAAGTAGTCATTTACATCTGCCTAATTTGCAGTGTTGTTGCAAAGTAAAGGTGGCTCATGGGTAAGAGAAGAGGCGGATACTGTAGTCTAGAGGAAAGACCACTCATTCTGATATCTAATTCCAAACTAAAAGTTGAATTCTACATGTTGATTGATTGCCTTCATGCTATGTGATTTCTTGGATTTTTGAAAGGTAGGGAATCAGTCTTGCCCTCAAAGGAGTGTGTAGCTTTAAGTACAAAGGTGTTTTCCCCAGTATAAATGCATAAGTTTGTTTATATACTTCATATGTCATGGAATGGTTTGGGTTGGAAGGGAACTCAAAGATCATCTAGTTCCACCCTCCACTAGACCAGGTTGCCCAAAGCCTCATCCAACCTGGCCTTGAACACTTCCAGGGATGGGGTCTCCACAATCTCTGCGGGCAACTTGTTCCAGAATATACATATATACAAACAAGTATATGTTCTGTGCTTACTATGTTAGGAAAGCTACTTTTTTTTTTTTTTTTTTTTAATCCAGTTTTCTTCCAGATAGAGCAGAGTAGAACAGCTGCAATCAGCTTCTTACCCAACCTTTTTGTTCAGAAGTAGAAGCTGGTTTCTGCCTAGGTGCTTATGAATTATTCAGAGAAATTTCTCGTGCATCCCTGAGGGGAACATATGAGACAAAAGATCAGATAGGAAGGCAGCACAAGGAAAGTTTTTTGTTTCACCTTTTCAGCATTTCAAGATACTTGAGCCTACCAACAAATGCCAAAAGGTTCCTTTTTCTGAAGAAGTAGGCAGTTGACCTAAAGCAGTACAGCTCAGTGAAAATTAAAGCTTATGTGTTTCTGGGTATCTTTTTACCTCTCCTCTGAATCTACCTTTGAATAAATAGTCTGTAAACACATGATGCTCTTCAGAATAACTGAGAAATTAGCTGCCTTAAGAGGCACGTGAGATGAAAAATACTGTGCTTCCCATCTGGGTTCCCTTTTTATGAGCTTTTCAGTTTGAGGACAAGCTGGAGGGAAACTATTCATTTTGTTGCATTGTCCAGTCTTTTTTAAGCAGTCTTATAATTTACAATTTTGGTTTTTAAAAGCTTTCTCTATTACTCTAGACCTTTTCTGTACTAAGATGTTGTTTTGAATAGATGCTGAGAGATTTATGCTGCTTAAATAGAAATCCTAAAGATGTATGCTATAAAAATACTTGTCTATGTAATTCCATGTGGGGAAAAAGTACAGGATTCTCTGTCCTTCTTGATGTTCTAACTACTGCAAAAAGTATTTTGAGGAGGAAGTTTTCAGTGTTTGCTCTTGCCTATCTATAGATGAATATCTGTACATCTCAACACTTTTGGTTTTGTATATTTACCTTTTTATTATAAAGACGTATTATTTCAGTGGCAGGGGAGCTATAGCAACAGCACTGTGGAGGTACCAGCCTCTATAACAACAGCTGAAACATTAACTTGTAATATTTGTATTCACAATTCTAAGCTGACAATCCATTTATGAACCAAAGTTCTGTGAAAAAAAATAACTTATTTTCTGTGATTAATTTGATATTTTAAAAATATTTGATATGGCTTTCTAGCAATGCTTAGAAAGCAATATAAAATGCTACTGTTTCAACATAACAGTTACCTTAGAGTTTAGATCTATTTAATAAGCTTTGGTGAAATTCTTTTTTTGGGCCCAGGTATAGATCATAATAACCTTATGTATAAAATGCAACTAAAAAGAAATAAGATTTAAGGATGGCACACGTTCTAGCTTGTAGCATATGTATCCAGCCCTGCCTCTCCAAGTAAAATTACTTGAAGTAGTTGAACCTGAAATCAGTTTTGAAGGATTTTTTTTTTTCCTTTTAATTGAAATTTTAGAGTGAGTGACATCTGACACTCAGTTCAATCTGAAGTTAAAATTTCCTGATTTTTTTGTGGTTGAGAAAACCAGATCTTTGATTTGAGATGATATGTGTAGTTATCCAGAGAAGAACAAAAGTTAAATAAAATGTCTGTTTGTGTTTGTATGAAAAAGAATGGCTTATTGGGAATAGGCAAGATTTCTTCTTTTATAATCCATTGTTTTGATGATGATACATCACTCTGGTAAAAAGGATGAAACAGTAAAAATTTGAAGCTTTATTATTTTTCAGTACAACTTCTTGGCCATAACTCTCTTTAAGTACTTATTCCTGAATACAATCTACTGTTTCTACACAGAAACACCCTTATTAATCTAAATTACTGAAGAAATGTGTGAAGGAAGACTAGGAAGTTTAGTCTTGTGGCTTGAGAACTCATGTGCTTCCTCCTGTGGTTATGGCATTCATCTCAAGTGCAAACTCCATGTTCTGTTAATGGTGACCATGAAGAGGTGCTCTTTGCAGAAGTCTAATGTATTATCTGAATGCAGCTACCTTTTATTAGCTGGTATGATCTGTTAAAGTATTATATTTGTCTAAAAATGCAATTTTCTAAAGAAACAAGTTGTTACTAATATGCTGCTGTCTCAAGGTCTTCACTAAAATGAAAAACAGGACAACCTGGCAATGGTGTGAAAATTGGAGCAGTTAAGAGTGATGGAAGAGATCTGTTCACCAACAAAATGATAACGATAAATGGGAGGGTTTGGAGGGAGAGGTTAACTCTTGTTGTATGTGCCCTAGTAATGAAATGCCTAAGACAGCGTGACACCAAATGGTCGGGGCTTGATCCATGAATAAAGGACAATTTGTTTGGCTGTATTCAGTATTCTGCTTAATTAAAATCCTGGGGAAATGGAACCGGTTGGGTTATACTGTGGCGTTACTCAAGATGTGAGATATTCTATCAGAGACCTGGCTGCAGGGGGCAGTGTGTTTGTGTTCATGCTCACTGCTAGTGCAGTCCCTTCTAAAATGTTGGGGGGATTTATTCATTAAATCAGCTGAACAACGAAAGTAGTTCTTTCAAATAGAAATGCTGTTAAAATTCTCTGTAATGGCTTGTCAACTAAATTATTCCTCATACACTTAATGTTTATATCGATACATTCATTCACTGTATTCTGTTAAGTAGTTCTCATTTTAAGATCTGCCTTATTCTCAGGTGCTATTTTTTACTGTTTGTTGCTAACTGAAATTTTCTCCAAGCCAGGGGTTATACCAGCTAGCTCTAACTGCTCGCAAGATGTCAAGAGTGAAGCAAGAACATGTCACTATCAATGAAGTGTACTTCATGGAGTGCAGCAGCAATGCTTTTGTACAAATGCAGTGTCCTTTCTTGGGTTTACGGGTTGTATAGTGCACTCAGGGAAAACAACGCAAAGTTGTGTCTAAAGGTTTGAAATACTTCTGTTTATTTTCTGTATTTTAAATCGCTTTTTATCACACCCAATGAGATTTAAAGTTTTCTTTAATGACTAAATTGAAAAAATGGTGATTCGCACTTCAATGTCATATATACTCGGCTGTCACCTGCCTGATTTTGGCCAGAATAGATTTATTTGAACAACTTTCCCCAGTCTCCCTACCCTTTATCGTCACCTCCAGATTTCTGCATTACTGCTGCCTTCCTGCTTTTGTCATTGTTTTCCTCCCCTGTGAAAAAAAGAATAAACAGTCTTTTATCTCCTGCAGTCAGGGTGCTGTTGTGGAAAGTAGCCCTTACTGCTGACGTCTGAAAAGTCCTGAAACGGGCCATCATTCAGTAGTGCCTGAAATGGCAATGAATATTTCAACCAATTGTCCAGGAAGCAAATATTTATATTCTCTCTCAGGCTGAAAAGTTTTTAGCTAAGTGTAGCTTTCACATGAAATAGTATTTGAGGCATCTGTATATCATTACAATCCTAGAAGAGTCTAGTATTTTTTGAATATTAAGTAATTCATCTTAGCGCTTGCTAGTTAATCCTATTAGTAGCTTAGCTTCTAAGAGTGGAAAACTAAAACAGAAAAGGAGAAATTACTTATCCAAAATTACTCATTTAGAAATTTCTTTTCAAAAAGCATTATCTTAAAGAATTATATTCCTCACTCCACACTGTTAGATATCTGTTAAAGTTTCCTATAATTATGCAGAACTAAGTCAGATCTCTTAAGGCTTGGATGAACTATGTGCACTTTACCTCTCAGTTATAAATGTATTCTTATTTATTTCTGACTACATTGACTTTTTACTTTTTTTTTTTTTTCTCCAATCCAAAGACATTTTGCCAGAAAGAAACCTGGCCATATGTACGGGTAGTGTATGCTTATGAGCCTGGTAAGGATGTTGAGCTGACTGAAAAGAAAAGCAGAGACTTTAGAGACACGAGTTCAGACACTGTTTGAAGGCGTCAGGGGAGTTAAAGAAGAGAGAGGCTAAACACTGTCACACAAACTAACTTTTTTCCTTCAGTGAGGCAGTGTTCTCTAGTATTTATTCTTCCTTTCATAACAAGGATCCCATCTGGGGAACCATTAACTAACTCATTTGATTTTCATTGTCAGGCTACTATACTGTAAAAATTGTTGGTTTAGGCCACATAGACTTGTCCTAAGCATGTTGTGCTGGTTCTTGTGAGTTGTTTGTGTTGTAACTGATTACCGTAGAGCTCAATGCTGATGCCAAATGTCAGTGCTCATTGGACTGGCTAAATGCACCCTTAGGCACACGGTGGTTGAAGAAGAATGAAGAAATAACAGTAATTGGTTTTGTTAGATTTGTTAGTAAAATACTGTGAGTTTACCCTTTAGAAACTTAAAGGTTATTTCATGGAAAGTAGAGAAAGCAAAACATATGTTCAGCCA